CTGCTGGTGTTCTCCCTGTACACCACCAGCTGGTGTACCCCCTGTACACCACCAGCTGGTGTTCCCCTGTACACCACCAGCTGGTGTACCTCCCTGTACACCACCAGCTGGTGTTCCCCTGTACACCACCAGCTGGTGTACCTCCCTGTACACCACCAGCTGGTGTTCCCCTGTACACCACCAGCTGGTGTTCCTCTGTACACCACCAGCTGGTGTTCCCCTGTACACCTCTGGTGTTCCCCTGTACACCACCTGCTGGTGTACCTCTGGTCTACACCACAGCTGGTGTTCCTCCTGTACACCACCAGCTGGTGTTCCTCCTGTACACCACCAGCTGGTGTTCCCCTGTACACCACCAGCTGTTGGTGTTCCCCTGTACACCACCAGCTGGTGAACCTCTGTGGTCTACACCACCTGCTGGTGTACCCCCTGTACACCACCAGCTGGTGTTCCCCTGTACACCACCAGCTGGTGTTCCCTCTGTACACCACCAGCTGGTGTTCCCCTGTACACCACCAGCTGGTGTTCCTCCTGTACACCACCAGCTGGTGTTCCTCCTGTACACCACCAGCTGGTGTTCCTCCTGTACACCACCAGCTGGTGTTCCCCTGTCTACACCACCAGCTGGTGTTCTGTCTCTCCCAGCAGTTGAGGATTGCAGGGTTGAAATCCAAGTGATGGATTAGTTTCTAGGAGACGGGGGAGGGGAAGGGGGTGGGGGACGTACACGCAAGACCTCAACACCGTTCTCTCGGTCATTAATCAACCCGGCCTCGGACTAAGTCCATTCCATCCAGCGGTCGACCCCCCAAAGACGCATTCATCAACTTTAACATACAAACATTCAAAGCAGCAGTTTTCTCAAATATAAATTAATATTGTTATATATTAGCATATTGTGTATATATAGAGGCATCTTGAGGTTATCTTGATGATTTCGGGGCTTTTACTGTCCCCGCGGCCCGGTCCTCGACCAGGCCTCCACCCCCAGGAAGCAGCCCGTGACAGCTGACTAACACCCAGGTACCTATTTTACTGCTAGGTAATAGGAGCATCAGGGTGAAAGAAACTCTGCCCATTGGTTCTCGCCGGCGCCCGGGATCGAACCCGGGGCCACAGGATCACGCATCCAGTGTTCTATCCGCTCAGCCACCGGCTCCACCGGCATAGGTTAGGTTAGGTGTTTAGGTTCTGTTGGCGATTATTTGTATTCGTAGTACGTGGGTGAAGCATTTACAGCGTTGGGGTTCGAACACAAGTCGTCAATGAAGCACTTGTTCCGGAAGTGTTCGAACGTCGAACACTTCCGGTGAGTTGTGAGTCGTGTGTAAACCGTTTTTCATTCATAAACAGCTGGGGGTTGGCGGGTGGATGGAATGTACTTCAGCCTTTATTTAGAGGACGGCCTGGAGAACAGGAAGAGTTAAACGACTCGTTAAACACGGTGTTTCAGGTGTGCCACACGCTCGACCATCATGGTCCATAGCGGCAACATTGTAAAGAAATTTATCGTTCTTTTCACAGTGGCGTTGTAGCCTGCACAAGACACAATAGACAGATAAGTCCAGACATAATTAATAGAGCACTCCGAACACATTAGAAAGAGATCCACGGATAAAACAGGCACAGAACACCGGATACAATAAACAGAGCCCTGGGCACTGAGCCCCTTGGGCACTGAGCCCCTTGGGCACTGAGCCCCCTGGGTACTGAGCCCCCTGGGCACTGAGCCCCTTGGACACTGAGCCCCCTGGGCACTGAGCCCCCTGGGCACTGAGCCCCCTGGGCACTGAGCCCCCTGGGCACTGAGCCCCCTGGGCACTGAGCCCCTTGGGCACTGAGCCCCTTGGGCACTAAGGACAGAGCCCCAGCTTGAGACAGTCGAGCAGAGACGGGTTGAAACTATACTCAAGCAGCTCCATAACTATACCGACGAAGGTCATCAATAACCAATCACAGCTCTCATACGCTTGGCGCCAAAACTCAACAGCCAATCCCAGCTTTCATACATTTGGCGCCAAAACTCAATAACCAATCAGCGACGGTGTTATGATTACATTCAAGGTAAGGCTTGCAAATCGAGTACTGGAGCGACTCTGTTGATTTATAATACAGTAATTATATACGTCACTGACTTCAAAATACATTTCTGGGAGGAGGGGGACAGTTCCCCCCACCCTCCAAGACAGGGGGGGGGGCGTCTGTGTTGCTGGCCCCCTGTCTGTGGCGCATCTCGCTTCTCCTTTGTCTGTGCGGCTCATCACAGGTCCTCCTGGAGCAGTCCTCCTCAGACTATCTTTTATCACTCCTCAGACTGTCTTTTATCACTCCTCAGACTATCTTTTATCAAGCACCTTTGATCTGGCTCGACTCATCTCAGTATCTCCATTAAATTTAACATTTTTGATAACTATCAATCAGCATTCTAAAGTTGTTCTGCCTGACGAGGTTTATGACGCGATGCCCTAAATTGGGACGCTGTTACGACCACTTCAGGGCTGTCAGGGCCGGGGTGTTAGTACAGCCAGGGCGAGGGTGTTAGTACAGCCAGGGCCGGGGTGTTAGTACAGCCAGGGCCGGGGTGTTAGTACAGCGAGGGCCAGGGTGTTAGTACAGCCAGGGCGAGGGTGTTAGTACAGCCAGGGCCAGGGTGTTAGTACAGCCAGGGCCAGGGTGTTAGTACAGCCAGGGCCAGGGTGTTAGTACAGCGAGGGCCAGGGTGTTAGTACAGCCAGGGCCGGGGTGTTAGTACAGCCAGGGCCGGGGTGTTAGTACAGCCAGGGCCAGGGTGTTAGTACAGCCAGGGCCAGGGTGTTAGTACAGCGAGGGCCAGGGTGTTAGTACAGCGAGGGCCAGGGTGTTAGTACAGCCAGGGCCGGGGTGTTAGTACAGCCAGGGCCGGGGTGTTAGTACAGCCAGGGCCAGGGTGTTAGTACAGCCAGGGCCAGGGTGTTAGTACAGCCAGGGCGAGGGTGTTAGTACAGCCAGGGCCGGGGTGTTAGTACAGCCAGGGCCGGGGTGTTAGTACAGCCAGGGCCGGGGTGTTAGTACAGCCAGGGCCAGGGTGTTAGTACAGCCAGGGCCAGGGTGTTAGTACAGCGAGGGCCAGGGTGTTAGTACAGCCAGGGCCGGGGTGTTAGTACAGCCAGGGCCAGGGTGTTAGTACAGCGAGGGCCAGGGTGTTAGTACAGCGAGGGCCAGGGTGTTAGTACAGCGAGGGCCAGGGTGTTAGTACAGCCAGGGCCGGGGTGTTAGTACAGCCAGGGCCGGGGTGTTAGTACAGCCAGGGCCAGGGTGTTAGTACAGCCAGGGCGAGGGTGTTAGTACAGCCAGGGCCGGGGTGTTAGTACAGCCAGGGCCGGGGTGTTAGTACAGCCAGGGCGAGGGTGTTAGTACAGCCAGGGCCGGGGTGTTAGTACAGCCAGGGCCGGGGTGTTAGTACAGCCAGGGCGAGGGTGTTAGTACAGACAGGGCCGGGGTGTTAGTACAGCCAGGGCCGGGGTGTTAGTACAGCCAGGGCCGGGGTGTTAGTACAGCCAGGGCGAGGGTGTTAGTACAGCCAGGGCCAGGGTGTTAGTACAGCCAGGGCCGGGGTGTTAGTACAGCCAGGGCGAGGGTGTTAGTACAGCGAGGGCCAGGGTGTTAGTACAGCGAGGGCCAGGGTGTTAGTACAGACAGGGCCAGGGTGTTAGTACAGCCAGGGCGAGGGTGTTAGTACAGCCAGGGCCGGGGTGTTAGTACAGCCAGGGCCGGGGTGTTAGTACAGCCAGGGCGAGGGTGTTAGTATAGCGAGGGCCAGGGTGTTAGTACAGCGAGGGCCAGGGTGTTAGTACAGACAGGGCCAGGGTGTTAGTACAGCCAGGGCGAGGGTGTTAGTACAGCCAGGGCCGGGGTGTTAGTACAGCCAGGGCCGGGGTGTTAGTACAGCCAGGGCGAGGGTGTTAGTACAGCGAGGGCCAGGGTGTTAGTACAGCGAGGGCCAGGGTGTTAGTACAGCCAGGGCCAGGGTGTTAGTACAGCCAGGGCCGGGGTGTTAGTACAGCCAGGGCCGGGGTGTTAGTACAGCCAGGGCGAGGGTGTTAGTACAGCCAGGGCCAGGGTGTTAGTACAGCCATGGCCAGGGTGTTAGTACAGCCAGGGCCGGGGTGTTAGTACAGCCAGGGCCGGGGTGTTAGTACAGCCAGGGCGAGGGTGTTAGTACAGCCAGGGCCGGGGTGTTAGTACAGCCAGGGCCAGGGTGTTAGTACAGCCAGGGCCGGGGTGTTAGTACAGCCAGGGCCGGGGTGTTAGTACAGCCAGGGCCAGGGTGTTAGTACAGCCAGGGTGTTAGTACAGCCAGGGCCGGGGTGTTAGTACAGCCAGGGTGTTAGTACAGCCAGGGCCGGGGTGTTAGTACAGCCAGGGCCAGGGTGTTAGTACAGCCAGGGCGAGGGTGTTAGTACAGCCAGGGCCGGGGTGTTAGTACAGCCAGGGCCGGGGTGTTAGTACAGCCAGGGCCAGGGTGTTAGTACAGCCAGGGTGTTAGTACAGCCAGGGCCGGGGTGTTAGTACAGCCAGGGTGTTAGTACAGCCAGGGCCGGGGTGTTAGTACAGCCAGGGCCGGGGTGTTAGTACAGCCAGGGCCAGGGTGTTAGTACAGCCAGGGCCGCCTTAGGGCAACAGACCTGGCGTCAGCAGAACAGTAACCAGAAGATGTTATTAAAAGGAAGATCTCGGATTTTATCAAAAGATTAGAGAATACATGCTGGAGTCAGGTCCCTTAACCAGGAATATTTTAATAAGTGCTGGAGGGGGAGGTGGAGCAGGAGGCGGAGCAGGAGGTGGAGCAGGACCAAGAAAGGGCGAAGGAATGAAGCTGGAATGAGAGCATCTGGAGGCGGAGACTCAATCTTCCCTGACTGAAGAACGCTCCCAAAGACTTTATTGAAATATAGAAAACGTTTAAAAGATAATATCGAGCAGGGACTGAACAAATATTATTGGCAAGCAATTTCAGCCCCATGGAAGGTAAGTATGTGTATATGAAGGAATTGTGCGAGGCTTGGGAGGTGTTGGGGGTGACAATGGCACCGGATATGTTGAAAGTTAGGCTTCAAATATTGACTTGAGGTTGTTTGGGCCGCCCAAACTTTCCATTAACAGCCTCGTTTAGACCTAATGAGCATTGGTGCTCGACTAGTTGTGTAGACCCCATGGCGTCTACGACGTCCAGACGCGACCTGTCCTCCTACAGCCTGTCCTCCTACAGCCTGTCCTCCAGCCTGTCCTCCAGCCTGTCCTCCTGCAGCCTGTCCTTCTACTTCCTGTCCTCCTACATCCTGTCCTCCTACAACCTGTCCTCCTACAGCCTGTCCTCCTACAGCCTGTCCTCCTACAGCCAGTCCTCCTACAGCCAGTCCTCCTACAGCCAGTCCTCCTACAGCCAGTCCTCCTACAGCCAGTCCTCCTACAGCCAGTCCTCCTACAGCCTGTCCTCCTACAGCCTGTCCTCCTACAGCCTGTCCTCCTACAGCCTGTCCTCCTCCAACCTGTCCTCCTGCAGCCTGTCCTCCTACAGCCTGTCGTCCTACAGCCTGTCGTCCTACAGCCTGTCCTCCTACAGCCTGTCCTCCAACCTGTCCTCCTGCAGCCTGTCCTCCTGCAGCCTGTCCTTCTACTTCCTGCCCTCCTACATCCTGTCCTCCTACAACCTGTCCTTCTACAACCTGTCCTCCTACAGCCAGTCCTCCTACAGCCAGTCCTCCTACAGCCTGTCCTACTACAGCCTGTCCTCCTACAGCCTGTCCTCCTACAGCCTGTCCTCCTACAGCCTGTCCTCCTGCAGCCTGTCCTCCTGCAGCCTGTCCTCCTGCAGCCTGTCCTCCTGCAGCCTGTCCTCCTGCAGCCTGTCCTCCTGCAGCCTGTCGTCCTACAGCCTGTCGTCCTACAGCCTGTCCTCCTACAGCCTGTCCTTCTACAGCCTGTCCTCCTACAGCCTGTCTTCCTACAGCCTGTCCTCCTACAGCCTGTCCTCTTACAGCCTGTCCTCCTACACCCTGTCTTCCTACAGCCTGTCCTACAATTGTCCTCCTACAGCCTGTCCTTCTACACCCTGTCCTCCTACAGCCTGTCCTTCTACACCCTGTCCTCCTACAGCCTGTCCTACAGCCTGTCCTCCTACAGCCTGTCCTCCTACAGCCTGTCCTCCTACAACCTGTCCTCCTACAGCCTGTCCTCCTACAGCCTGTCCTCCTACAGCCTGACCTCCTACAACCTGTCCTCCTGCAGCCTGTCCTTCTACACCCTGTCTTCCTACAGCCTGTCCTACAATTGTCCTCCTACAGCCTGTCCTTCTACACCCTGTCCTCCTACAGCCTGTCCTTCTACACCCTGTCCTCCTACAGCCTGTCTTACAGCCTGTCCTACAGCCTGTCCTCCTACAGCCTGTCCTACAGCCTGTCCTCCTACAACCTGTCCTCCTACAGCCTGTCCTCCTACAGCCTGTCCTCCTACAGCCTGACCTCCTACAACCTGTCCTCCTGCAGCCTGTCCTTCTACAGCCTGTCCTACAGCCTGTCCTTCTACAGCCTGTCCTCCTACAGCCTGTCCTCCTACAGCCTGTCCTCCTACAGCCTGTCCTACAACGTCGCTTTTTGCACGTATGCGTCACATAAGGCCAAAAATCGTCGTACTAGAAAATGGAAGCGGCTGGCGAAAGTGACGTACTGTCCCGTTTTCTGTTTTGGGTCCTCTGGCAGGTTAGGAGAGACTACTTTAAATTGACCGTTTTCTGGACGTTGGCGAACCCTTAGGAGGACGGACTGGTTAGCGACATCAATGGTGGTGGGTAATCTACCCCTTGACCTGACCTTCTTGTTGCAATACGGCCCCTTGACCTGACCTTCTTGTTGCAATACGGCCCCTTGACCTGACCTTCTTGTTGCAATACGGCCCCTTGACCTGACCTTCTTGTTGCAATACGGCCCCTTGACCTGACCTTCTTGTTGCAATACGGCCCCTTGACCTGACCTTCTTGTTGCAATACGGCCCCTTGACCTGACCTTCTTGTTGCAATACGGCCTCTTGACCTGACCTTCTTGTTGCAATACGGCCCCTTGACCTGACCTTCTTGTTGCAATACGGCCCCTTGACCTGACCTTCTTGTTGCAATACGGCCCCTTGACCTGACCTTCTTGTTGCAATACGGCGAGAAATATATTACCGGCAAAGCTGATAATGTTAGCTCATTGTATTAACTTTATAAAGATAATCTAACGGTGCAATTTTTATCCACAGATCGGCACAGACCGTGAAGAGTGCTGACATCAGGATCCGCTAGAGCACGACTTTCGTCTGTAGACACTGACAGCTGGAGCCGACAGCTGGAGCCGACAGCTGGGGCCGACAGCTGGAGACGACAGCTGGGGCCGACAGCTGGAGCCGACAGCTGGAGACGACAGCTGGGGCCGACAGCTGGAGACGACAGCTGGGGCCGACAGCTGGAGACGACAGCTGGGGCCGACAGCTGGAGACGACAGCTGGAGACGACAGCTGGGGCCGACAGCTGGAGACGACAGCTGGGGCCGACAGCTGGAGACGACAGGTGGGGCCGACAGGTGTCTTAGAGTGACGAAGAGAAAAGGCTCCATAACAATACCTGTATTCAATATCTTCGAGTTTCAAAGAATCCTCTGATGTTCAGAGTAATCTCCTCTTGGCCCTTCTAGAGGCTCTGAAGGACGACTGCATCATTCCCACCCCTCCATCTTCCTCCAAGACCTCCACCAAGACCTCCATCTTCCTCCAAGACCTCCACCAAGACCTCCACCTTGCTCCAAGACCTCCACCTTGCTCCAAGACCTCCACTAAGACCTCCACCTTCCTCCAAGACCTCCACCAAGACCTCCATCTTCCTCCAAGACCTCCACCAAGACCTCCACCTTGCTCCAAGACCTCCACCAAGACCTCCATCTTCCTCCAAGACCTCCACCAAGACCTCCACCTTGCTCCAAGACCTCCACCAAGACCTCCATCTTCCTCCAAGACCTCCACCAAGACCTCCATCTTCCACCAAGACCTCCATCTTCCTCCAAGACCTCCACCAAGACCTCCACCTTGCTCCAAGACCTCCACCAAGACCTCCATCTTCCTCCAAGACCTCCACCAAGACCTCCACCAAGACCTCCATCTTCCTCCAAGACCTCCACCAAGACCTCCATCTTCCTCCAAGACCTCCACCAAGACCTCCATCTTCCTCCAAGACCTCCACCTTCCTCCAAGACCTCCACCTTCCTCCAAGACCTCCACCAAGACCTCCACCAAGACCTCCATCTTCCACCAAGACCTCCACCAAGACCTCCACCTTCAGGAAACCTTCACAATTCCTCAACCAGACTTACATAAACATCTTCAGAGGAGTTCGCTAAGTCGTAGGTGGAATTCAAGATGAATTGAAAACACAACTCTTTGCATTACACAGTTTTATAATCAAAGAACAATTAAATGCATAAATCAAAACCACGGAATATTTTAAATAAAGCAGTGTCGTGTGTCACATATATTATATAACAAATATTATATACAACAGATCTATATATCACCGAAACTAATGTCTACTCCATCCAGATTAGTCAATGCATTTGACAGGAATTTTAAGCCACAATCCTATATATGTAAAATATTGGAAAAAAATGTCTAATCTTGCAACTGCGGTCATCATTGTAGGCGATGAACAGCAGATATATAAACTGGACCTTTGTGGAGCTGTGGCTATATAAGGAGAAGATGAGAGCCGTGGGTTGGTAGGCGGCATCCTGAGACAGCTTCCGTCTCATCTCAGAGTGGGTGGAGAGCATCAACATCTTGAGAGCTGCCATGAGGGACTCCACGTCAACCACTCTTCTTCCCTCAAGAAATATGTCACGCATGACAGGTAAACCCTCAATGTTAACACACAAACCCTCAATGTTAACACACAAACCCTCAATGTTAACACACAAACCCTCAATGTTAACACATGAACCCTCAATGTTAACACACAAACCCTCAATGTTAACACACAAACCCTGAATGTTAACACATGAACCCTGGATGTTAACACATAACCCCTGAATGTTAACACATAAACCCTCAATGTTAACACATGAACCCTGGATGTTAACACATAACCCCTGAATGTTAACACATGAACCCTGGATGTTAACACATGAACCCTGGATGTTAACACATAAACCCTCAATGTTAACACATAAACCCTCAATGTTAACACATAAACCCTCAATGTTAACACATAAACCCTCAATGTTAACACACAAACCCTCAATGTTAACACACAAACCCTCAATGTTAACACACAAACCCTCAATGTTAACACACAAACCCTCAATGTTAACACACAAACCCTCAATGTTAACACACAAACCCTCAATGTTAACACATAAACCCTCAATGTTAACACACAAACCCTCAATGTTAACACATGAACCCTCAATGTTAACACACAAACCCTCAATGTTAACACACAAACCCTCAATGTTAACACACAAACCCTCAATGTTAACACATAAACCCTGAATGTTAACAAAGAAAACTAGAAGAAAGTTAAAAAAAATCGGTCATTTAACATTTACTCTGAAAACGTTTAAGATGGAACACCGAAATAACGAAACTGTGTCTGTCTGTCTGTCTGTCTGTCTGTCTGTCTGTCTGTCTGTCTGTCTGTCTGTCTGTCTGTCTGTCTGTCTGTCTGTCTGTCTGTCTGTCTGTACAACCAGTCTCCGTGGTGTAGTGGTAAGACACTCGCCTGGCTTTCCGCGAGCGCTCTGTCCTGGGTTCGTATCCTGGCCGGGGAGGATTCACTGGGCGCAAATCCTTAACTGTAGCCTCTGTTTAACGCAACAGTAAAATGTGTACTTGGTTGTAACAACGATTCTTCGCGGCGGGGATCGTATTCCAGGGACCTGCCCGAAACACTACGCGTACTAGTGGCTCTACAAGAATGTAACAACTCTTGTATATATCTCAAAAAAAAACTCTGTGCTTGTTCCCTTTCCAGAGACCTGGCCAGGCTGTGTCTCCTCTGGTAACCATAGCGCTGTTGCCCCTAAACATATTGTTAGAGAAAGTATTTGATTACGTAGTCAATGACTTTCAATTGTCTGACAAAAGTGGTTACTCATCACCACACTATAGTGTCGTGGTGACGGGAACTACTGAGTACTACAGCTCACGGGGTAGCTATAAGGTGTCTCCCTGTTTCTTGGTGCTGTCTAAGGGTTTGACAACAGTTCAACACGGCAAACTGTTGAGAATTGCTTAGCAGAAGGGTATGTGCTTGTCATGGTTAGATATAAATGTTTCCTCCCCGTCCCATCCCAAATCCTTATCCTGACCCCTTCCCAGTGCTATATAGTCGTAATGGCTTGGCGCTTTCCCTCTGATAGTTCCTTTTCACCAGCTTCCCTACCCTTCACCACCTTCCCCTACCCTTCACCACCTTCCCTACCCTTCACCACCTTCCCCTACCCTTCACCAGCTTCCCTACCCTTCACCACCTTCCCCTACCCTTCACCACCTTCCCTACCCTTCACCACCTTCCCCTACCCTTCACCACCTTCCCCTACCCTTCACCACCTTCCCCCTACCCTTCACCACCTTCCCCTACCCTTCACCACCTTCCCTACCCTTCACCACCTTCCCCCTACCCTTCACCACCTTCCCCCTACCCTTCACCACCTTCCCCTACCCTTCACCACCTTCCCCTACCCTTCACCACCTTCCCCTACCCTTCACCACCTTCCCCTACCCTTCACCACCTTCCCCCTACCCTTCACCACCTTCCCCTACCCTTCACCACCTTCCCCTACCCTTCACCACCTTCCCCTACCCTTCACCACCTTCCCCTACCCTTCACCACCTTCCCCTACCCTTCACCTGTATATTACATACCATTGTATACACCATTCTTGGTATACCAACTCGTGACAGACTTTGGTGTACTGTGTCAGTTCACACTGAAACTAAGAACAATAGATATATTCTTAGCACAGCAAGAATATACCAGATATATTGTCAAGAGAAACATATTACACCCATATTAAACTTGTAAGTATATAATTTCAACCCAACAATTATGATGTTAAATAACAATTAATAAAATGCAAGCGTTACAATTCCCGTGACATAGTTTTGTTTACTAAGGCGGCGCCGTTGGAGAGTGAGGAAGGTGAAGGAGCAGCAGAGGTGCAGTATGTGGGAGATCGGGTCCCCGAGAGCGTCTCCTCTCGGCTTCATCCCCAGCCTCAGTAGCGGCGCGCATCTCTGTCTATCTCCTCCTCTCCGCTTGCTCACGCTGGCCGCCGTGAGATGCTGACACCGCCATGGACCGCTCCGAAGTGCGACATCGGCTCCAGATTGATGTTAGTGCCTTCAACAGCTCTGAAATCGTGGCGTCGGGGAACGCCAACTTCTCTCACGTGTCGGTAAGTTATTTTGTTGCGTCAAGGAGCCTCGGCTACTCTTCCGCAGTGGAGCACTTCCTCCTATGCTGGGGCAGAGAATACCTTTTGACATCCCGTCACCTGCATGCCTCCACCAAGAAACTAATCACATACGCAACTCTCATGCTCCAGCCTGTCCTCCTACAGCCTGTCCTCCTAGAGCCTGTCCTCCTACAGCCTGTCCTCCTACAGCCTGTCCTCCTACAGCCTGTCCCCCTACAGCCTGTCCCCCTACAGCCTGTTCTCCTACAGCCTGTCCTCCTACAGCCTGTCCTCCTACAGCCTGTCCTCCTACAGCCTGTCCTCCTACAGTTTGTCCTCCTACAGCCTGTCCCCCTACAGCCTGTCCCCCCTACAGCCTGTCCTCCTACAGCCTGTCCTCCTACAGCCTGTCCCCCTACAGCCTGTCCCCCTACAGCCTGTCCCCCTACAGCCTGTCCTCCTACAGCCTGTCCTCCTACAACCTGTCCTCCTACAGCCTGTCCTCCCACAACCTATCCTCCTACCAAGAACGACGCTTTTCGCACGTATGCGTCACATAAGGCCCAAAAATCGTCGTACTAGAAAATGGCGCGGCTGGCGAAAGTGACGTACTGTCCCGTTTTCTGTTTTGGGTCCTCTGGCAGGTCAGGAGAGACCACTTTAAATTGACCGTTTTCTGGACGTTGACAAACCGTATGGAAAACGGACTGGTACATCTGCCCAGCGGCAGCACAAATGAGCAGACTGTAAGCGACAATAACTGGGCAACCACCTTGTTGAACCGTTGGCTATTCTTGACTCGTTCAATATTATTGAAAGTTCTTCAGTCGACAGCTTAATTATCTCCCGATTCCCTTTCATCATAACAAGCTTTAAACAGCTTAGTATCAAATTGCAACGTGCTTGCCTCTGAAGCCATGGATATATATGCATACTTAATGCCCAAAACGCCCTATTAACGCCGAAAATGCCCTATTCTGCCCGAAACGCCCTATTAACGCCGAAAATGCCCTATTCTGCCCGAAACGCTATGCGTGCTAGTGGCTTTACAAGAATGTAAAACATCAATGCTATGTACTCTCCTAAGCCCAATGTACCTTCTTGTATATAAATAAATAAATAAATAAATAAACAATGAGAAAGTCAAGAGCAAAATTGTTCTGAATTATTTGTCACATTAGCTGCAAGAGGCATTGTTTTTCGACCTGGACTATGGCTTGGACCACGGCCTGGACCACGGCCTGGACCATGGCTTGGACCACGGTCTGGACCATGACCTGGATCACGACCTGGACCACGGCCTGGACCACGACCTGGACCACGACCTGGACCACGACCTGGACCACGGCTTGGACCACGGCCTGGACCATGGCTTGGACCACGGCCTGGGCCACGACCTGGACCACGACCTGGACCACGGCTTGGACCACGGCCTGGACCATGGCTTGGACCACGGCCTGGACCACGGCTTGGACCACGGCCTGGACCATGACTTGGACCACGGCCTGGACCACGGTCTGGACCACGGTCTGGACCACGGTCTGGACCACGACCTGGACCACGACCTGGACCCTGGCCTGGACCGACACGCCACCATTACACTGTGTGAAAATCTGGTCATTTCATAACATTGCAGGAAATGGCAAATCATTTTGGGTATAAATGATGCAATTTATACCGATAAACAGTGGTACCAACTGCATCGGACATCCTTGCACTGCATCCTTGCACTGCATCCTTGCACTCCATCCTTGCACTGCATCCTTGCACTCCATCCTTGCACTCCATCCTTGCACTACATCCTTGCACTCCATCCTTGCACTACATCCTTGCACTCCATCCTTGCACTCCATCCTTGCACTGCGTCCTTGCACTCCATCCTTGCACTCCATCCTTGCACTCCATCCTTGCACTCCATCCTTGCACTCCATCCTTGCACTACATCCTTGCACTACATCCTTGCACTCCATCCTTGCACTCCATCCTTGCACTCCATCCTTGCACTACATCCTTGCACTACATCCTTGCACTCCATCCTTGCACTCCATCCTTGCACTACATCCTTGCACTCCATCCTTGCACTCCATCCTTGCACTCCATCCTTGCACTCCATCCTTGCACTCCATCCTTGCACTCCATCCTTGCACTCCATCCTTGCACTCCATCCTTGCACTACATCCTTGCACTCCATCCTTGCACTCCATCCTTGCACTCCATCCTTGCACTCCATCCTTGCACTCCATCCTTGCACTCCATCCTTGCACTCCATCCTTGCACTACATCCTTGCACTCCATCCTTGCACTCCATCCTTGCACTCCATCCTTGCACTCCATCCTTGCACTCCATCCTTGCACTGCGTCCTTAGCTTGTAGCAGTGTAGGGGTCATTACTACCACGAGTGTTGCAGGAGGATGGTAGGGCCACTATGCATCATGCGACGAGGGGTCCAACACGCCGAAACTGCTGGTGTGTAACATTGTTCGTGTCAGGTTTGAGCGCGACAGGTTTGGCCTCTAGCATATGTGCCTTGTTTATTGGGCCTTCCCTATTGCTTCCCCTCCCCCCCCCCTCCCTCCCTCAAAACACACACACACACACACACACACACACACACACACACACACACACACACACACACACACACACACACACACACACACACACACACACACACACACACACACACACACACTCACAACGCGTCATATAACGCGTTTCAAAGCGTTATATGACAAAGAGTTATGGGAAGACGGGACACCACGAGCGTAGCTCTCATCCTGTAACTACACTTAGGTAATTACACACACACACACACACACACACACACACACACACACACACACACACACACACACACACACACACACACAGCACAAATAGGTGAGTACACATATACATATTCACAGGCTATACATTTCTGGAGATCGGTTTAACAAAGTATATTAACAATTAAAACAAAAAAACTACATTGAATAAGACAAAGGTGAAGCTAATTAGAGAGAGAGAGAGAGACCAATTATACGAGCCTCTCGACTAAGAGCAATACCAAGTATGTCTCGTTAACAATACCTAATGGTGTCCCAGAGCTAATGGGCACAGAGGTGAGGAAGATGGTGATACTGGAGGACAACTGGGGTGGTGTAAGGTGGTGATACTGGAGGACAACTGGGGTGGTGTAAGGTGGTGATACTGGAGGACAACTGGGGTGGTGTAAGGTGGTGATACTGGAGGACAACTGGGGTGGTGTAAGGTGGTGATACTGGAGGACAACTGGGGTGGTGTAAGGTGGTGATACTGGAGGACAACTGGGGTGGTGATACTGGAGGACAACTGGGGTGGTGTAAGGTGGTGATACTGGAGGACAACTGTGGTGGTGTAAGGTGGTGATACTGGAGGACAACTGGGGTGGTGTAAGGTGGTGATACTGGAGGACAACTGGGGTGGTGTAAGGTGGTGATACTGGAGGACAACTGGGGTGGTGTAAGGTGGTGATACTGGAGGACAACTGGGGTGGTGTAAGGTGGTGATACTGGAGGACAACTGGGGTGGTGTAAGGTGGTGATACTGGAGGACAACAGAGAACCCAAAACTTGCTGTTTTGGGTTCATTTCATTTGGAAAATAAATTTCCATTTTCTAATACAGCAATTTGTGGCCGTAGCGCATACGGGCGAAAAGCGACGTTGAACAAATCCACAAGGGCCGTGACGAGGATTCGAACCTGCGTCCGAGAGCATCCCAGACGCTGCCTTAATCGACGTTATTTGTAAGAGGACGAGTTGATTATCGCGCCGTATGTGACTCGACTTGAGAATGGTCCAAGACGGACCGAAACGTCGTCGTCGTCTTCTCATATTCTGGTGTGTGGTCTGGTCGTCATGTCTTCAGCCTCGTTATTGTGACTCGTCGTCTCGCTTCGTCAGCGCCGACTCCAGGAGGTCGGGGCCCTCCCTGACCTCCTGTCGGGAAGGTCGGGGCCCTCCCTGACCTCCTGTCGGGAAGGTCGGGGCCCTCCCTGACCTCCTGTCGGGAAGGTCGGGGCCCTCCCTGACCTCCTGTCGGGAAGGTCGGGGCCCTCCCCAACCTCATGTCGGGAAGGTCGGGCCCTCCCCAACCTCCTGTCGGGAAAGTCGGGGCCCTCCCCAACCTCCTGTCGGGAAAGTCGGGGCCCTCCCCAACCTCCTGTCGGGAAAGTCGGGGCCCTCCCCAACTTCCTGTCGGGAAAGTCGGGGCCCTCCCCAACCTCCTGTCGGGAAAGTCGGGGCCCTCCCCGACCTCCTGTCGGGAAAGTCGGGGCCCTCCCTGACCTCCTGTCGGGAAGGTCGGGGCCCTCCCCGACCTGTTGGGAAGGTCGGGGCCCTCCCCGACCTGTCTGGAAGGTCGGGGCCCTCCCCGACCTGTCGGGAAGGGCCCGACCACACCTGTAGCTGGAGTGGAAGATTGGTAGATGAGTGATTGAGATCGACCAATTACATAAATGTATTTTCTTTTCTCCAACCACTTGGGCTGGACGGTAGAGCGACGGTCTCGCTTCCTGCAGGTCGGCGTTCAATCCCCGACCGTCCACAAGTGGTTGGGCACCATTCCTTTTCCCCCGTCCCATCCCAAATCCTTATCCTGACCCCTTTCAAGTGCTAAATAGTTATAATGGCTTGGCGCTTTCCCCCTGGGCTGAACAACTTGGGGGTGGGGAGACAAATTGACAAGCCGCCGACTTCCTGTCCTTACCCTTCAGGTAAGTTCAACTGAGGTAACGTGAGTCTTGCCCAGTGTGGTGACCACGACAATTGGGCTGAGTTCGCTGTTTACCTTATTCTTGGTCTTTTAAAGGGACATATTAACCAGAATTGTTCATTGCAGAATTGTTCATTGTAATTATTCTCCCGAGTGATTTCATTAATTAACAAGTGAACACGTGAGTCTCACAACTAGGTTGTATTCGTGTTGATATTGTAGTCACCTAGTTGTGTTTGCGGGGGTTGAGCTTTGCTCTTTCGGCC